GAATTTTGACTTCTGTCAAAATTTTGGGCAAACGGGCTCGGACCCATGATTTGACGGTCCCGGAGGGTCCGTAGGATTATATGGGACTTGGGTGTATGCCTGGAATCAAATTCCGAGGTCCCAAGCCCGAGAAAGGAATTTTTGAAAGAAATTATTTTGTTGAATTAATTATGAGTTTTTGAAAGAGAAATGTGTTTGAAACCATTGGTATCGGGCCTGTATTTTAGTTCCGGAGCCTGATACAGGTCTTATATATGATTTGAGTCGAGCCTGTGAAAATTGGTAAGAAAAGGATTTGAAATGATGTGAATCGGACATTATTTGAGAAATTTGGCAAGTTTGAAGTTCTTAAGAAATTTCATGATTTTGATGCTAAATTCATAGTTGTTGATGTTATTTTAGCGATTTGAATGCACAAGCAAGTCCGTATGATGTTTTTAGATTGGTGTCCATGGTTGGTTTGGAGCCCTGAGGGTCAGGTGAGTTTTGGACAGGCCACAGAGTGGAATTTTGACTTTGGGTGTTACAGATTTTGAACTGATGTGTTGCAGCCCTGCAGGCTTCGCATTTGTGAAGCCTGGCTCGCAAATGCGAGATCAAATTTGCGAAGGCTATGTCGCACGAACTAGCCCAGGTCAGCACTATCTCGCAAGTGCGAGGTTCCTATCGNTGCGAGAGGTCTATCGCAAATGCGAAGAAGACCAAAAAATCTACTTGGTCTCAAATGCAACATTTTGTTCGCAAATGCGAAGGCATCAGAATCCTGAAGGGTTCGCAATTGCGAACCCTGATCGCAATTCCCATATCTGCAACCTGTAATTTTATAACTTAGCCGAAAATCTCTCATTTTTCACACTCTTTCAAAACCAAAACACTCTTGGGCGATTTTTCAAAGACAAGTCTTCTTCCAAATCGATTGTAAGTCAAGTTTAACTCGCTTTCTTCGATCATTAACATCTTTTCACATGATTTCAACTCAAAATCAATGATTTTCATGGGGAAAATTGGGTGGTTTGGGTAAAACCTAGGTTTTTCAAAAATTGGGTATTTGGACCTTGATTTGAGGTCCAATTTCAAAAAAAATTATATATTTGGGTTCGTAGGGGAATGAGTAATCGGGTTTTGGTTCGAACCTTGGGTTTTGACCATGTGGGCCCGGGAGCACTTTTTGACTTTTTGGGTAAAACTTTAAAAAACTCATTTTAATGCATTAAAATTGATTCATTTAGTATTTATTGATGTAATTAAGTAACTTGTGGCTAGATATGAGCGAATTGGTGGTGGAATCACGAGGTAAAGCGATATTAGAGGCTTGAATTGTGTTCATGGCATTGAGGTAAGTGTTTGGTCTAACCTTAGCTTGAGGGATTAGGAGTCGTGTCTTATTTGCTACGTGTTAATTGTGGAGTACAATGTATAGGCATGGTGATGAGTATCTATACATTGGTGTCAAGCATGCCCGTGCGTCTTGTATTGTAATTGTTATGACTCTATTGGGATTTATTGCGCTTCAAATGTTATTCTCATTATTGTTCCCTTGCAGGGATGTTATTGTCATTATTGTTCCCTTGCCGGGGTATTGTTATCATTATTGTTCCCTTGCCGGGATGTTATTGTCATATTATTGTTCCCTTGTCGGGATGTTTGTTTTGATATTATTGTTCCCTTGTCGGGATGTTTGTTTTGATATTATTGTTCCCTTGTCGGGATGTTTGTTTTGATATTATTGTTCCCTTGTCGGGATGTTTGTTTTGATATTATTGTTCCCTTGTCGGGATGTTTGTTTTGATATTATTGTTCCCTTGTCGGGATGTTTGTTTTGATATTATTGTTCCCTTGTCGGGATGTTTGTTTTGATATTATTGTTCCCTTGTCGGGATGTTTGTTTTGATATTATTGTTCCCTTGTCGGGATGTTTGTTTTGATATTATTGTTCCCTTGTCGGGATGTTTGTTTTGATATTATTGTTCCCTTGTCGGGATGTTTGTTTTGATATTATTGTTCCCTTGTCGGGATGTTTGTTTTGATATTATTGTTCCCTTGCCGGGACCCCTTTTGTGATTGGTGTTGATAAAACAAATGGGAGCGGGTTGCACGCCTGCAACGAGATATGTGAAATGGGAGCGGGTTGCACGCCTATAACGAGATATATGAAATGGGATCAGGTTGCACGCCTGCAACGAGATCTGTGAAATGGGAGCGGGTTGCACGCCTGCAACGAGATATGTGAAATAGGATCGGGTTGCACTCCTGCAACGAGATCTGTGAAATGGGAGTGGGTTGCACGCCTGCAACGAGATATGTGAAATGGGA